AGGACTGGCCATGCTGTTCTTCGGCTGTCGCGAGCAAAAAGAAGACTTCATCTACGAGGAGGAATGGGCGGTAAGTGACAAGTCTCCTAGCACCACACTTCCAGGCTTTTGTGCTGACGGACGATCCAGGAATATGGACGAATCCTCGGATCCAACTTCAGAATGATTACAGCATTCTCGCGCCAGACTCCTAACAAGAAGTTATATGTTCAAGACAAAATACGTCAGTTTGGCGCAGAGATCAGTTCCCTCCTCAGTAAAGATGCTCATTTCTATGTCTGTGGCGACGCGGCAATGGCAAAGGACGTGAGTAGCCTGCTAGAACAAATCATTTCCGAGCAGAGGGCCGTGCCACCCGCCGAGGCGGCTGCTGTTGTCAAGCAGATGAGAGCTGCGAATCAGTATCAAGAGGATGCATGGTCCTGAATCACAGAGGGCATTATTTTTATTTGGAGTTCGCAGCTTGGGGCTGACATGTAGTCATTGGACCAACATGTATTGTGTAGATAGCACGCAGCCTGACGATTTGATTGTGATCCATCTCCACCGAGAAGTATCACTTGGACTTTCCGAAAACGATAGTATACTAATTGGCAGGAGAGTTGCAGGGGCAATGCCAAGAAGTCGTGGCTGTTTGTAGATTCGCTGTCAAATCATATCCAAGCTAAAAGTCTAACAGACCAGTTTAACGGGTGGCCGAAGGTTAGATGGTGATAGAACTTCCGACTTCTACTGTGCACTGTATCCTCCATCAACCTGTCTCAGTATTAGCTTCGGCCTGGTCGCCGGGACGAAGAATGAAAGCTACTCACCGAGAGCACCGACCCGGTCACATAGCTTGCTCTGTCGCTTGACAGGTAGACGACCGCATCGGCTACCTCTTGCGGACTTGCCAATCTACCCATGGGGGTCTTTTCAATTTGCGGAGCAAGCAACTCCCGGATTGCAGGTGTCACCAACGGAGTATCGATGAACCTGGACGAGACAAACGTCAGTGAGTCGATCTCCGCGCCAACTGTGAGATACTTTACCCAGGGCAAACAGCGTTAACTCGAATTCCGTGCTTTGCATAGTCAAGCGCATCCGTCCGTACCATGCCGATCAGCCCTGGAGACTCCTGGTCAGCACAAGGTACACACAATGGACTCAAAGTAAGGACCAACCATGCTTGGAGATAGTGTACAGTCCATCCAAGGGAATGGCTCGGATGCCGAGAAGGGACGAAATCACCACAATCGAGCCCCTGGTAGGGGCTCTGCCGCTACTGGAGACGCGTCAGGATTACCATCGCAAATGTTGGATCATGGTGGGCGGATTCTGGCACGCTTACTGGGCCTCCAACAGCTCTTGCTTCGCCATATGTCTCAATTCTTCCCTCTCACAGAGCCAGGTGCCTCTCAGGTTGATTCTCTGAACCTTTTCGAAGGCTTCAAGTGTTGCTTCCCCAGTTGGCACGAAAGGCGCGGCAATGGCCGCGTTGTTAATAGCGTAGTCGATTCTACCAAATCGATCGATAGTCGACTTGAAAGCACGAGCCACCTGCTCCTCATCCGATATATCTACTGCAAGTTGCAGGAAATCCACGTCGGGGACCTCAGCGGTCAACGCTGCAGCGGTCTCACTCAATGCTTTGTTTGAGAGATCCAGGCCAGCGATCTGGCTGACCCCATCACGAGCAAACTGGAGAGCAACCGCTCGTCCAAGAGCACCACCTGCTCCAGTGATGAGAGCGACCCTTTGCAAAAGTTAGACCACAAGTACCACATTGCCTCAGGCGGGAGGCTGTTTGTTACTCACCCTTTTAGTCCGAGTCCGGTCAATGACATGGTTGCCTTGCGTGTCAATGAGCCTACAGCGATTCAATGTGATGCAAGCTTTGTAAGGTCTGGAAATTCAGGTTGCTGGCAATATTGGAATGGAGATGGAATAATACCCAGGTCAGCTCCGTGGATGTGTGCGGATTCGCCATTCTCGCTCAGCAATGGACCGTCGGGCATTTTCATCGGTCCGGACGATTGTCTTCGCGGGCAAACTACATGTCACCTGTACATACTCTTCCGTCGTCATGACAGAACCCGTCAAAGAGCCCTATGGAGAGACTCCGCGGTCAGGTTGATGTTGGAAGCGTCTATCGAGTGGGAGACTTGGTCTTTAGTTCCGCCATACACAACATCAAATTTTATTCAGCGGTATCTAGCGAATAATACATCAATTACAACGGTATGCCGATCGTGAATCCACCGTCCACGGCCAAATTTTGGCCTGTGATCCATTGGGCGTCATCACTACACAAGAACACCACTGCCTTTGCGATATCCAGTGGCTCTCCCAGTCTGGGCCAAGGGGTGCCCTTCTGCATCTCGGTGATGATGGCCGGTGTTCGGAAGTTGATGCTGGCTGCACCACTCCGAACCACACCGGGACACACGCCGTTGACGTTGATGTAGTCTTTAGCGTGGTCGAGAGCAACGTTCTGGGTCAGCATGGCCACCGCTGCCTTACTCGCAGCATACGTAGCCTCCCGACGGATAGCTGTGCGGCCGCCAGCGCTCGAGGAAATGTTGACAATCCGCCCCCGCGACCCAGAGACTTGATCAACGGGCTGTTTGAGGAACTGCTTGATGGCCTCGCGCATCGCGGTGGCTGTGCCTTTGGCATTGATGGCGAACATGGCGTCCCACTGCTCCTCGGTCTCCTCTACAAAGTCACGCAACGGCATCCACAGGCCAGCGTTGTTGACAAGAATGTCTAGTTTGTTGAATGTCTGGCATATGCCGTGTTAGACTAGCCAGCACCACGACATGGGATCTTGCTTGTTTGATTGCTTACCTTGACCGCAAACTCGATCAGGGCCACAATTTCGGCTACTTTCATCAAGTCACACTTCTGGAAGCAAGCCTTGCCGCCGTTGTTGTTGATGACTTCGTGCGTGGGGATGTGCTTGTCTTCCTCGAAGCCATCCTGGCGTGCTTCCGCAACACGGTCGGCGCATATCACATGGGCGCCTTCACAAGCCAGAGCCAACGCAATTCCACGACCTAGTCCAGACGATGAGCCCGTCACGATGGCAACTCGCTGATGAAGACGTCCAGTTCCGTTAAGTTTGTAACTCAGTGCGGCGCTCATGTTGCTGATGGGTGTCCTGATATTTTTCTTCGTATGCTGTCTTTAGTGTTTACCGTAGCACGGAGGTTCGAACAAATAAACCCAGCTGAAGTACGTTGACGGGTAAGCTATTGCGAGGTATGACGGCAAAGGTAAAGGGATGCTTGGTTGGACAAGTCTGGCCGACACTCAAATGGACGCATGGAGAACATTTCAAGGAAATACCCCACGGTGGCACCGGGTCAATGATTGACTATGAACTCCTCGTGCCCGTATGACTCTCTACAAGTCCCTTGTACCCCGTAATTGTTCCTGATCTAACGGAGTCTGCGGGGTCGAGTACCCACAACCCTGCCGAGTCGTACATCACATCGTATTCCTAGACCCTCTCTTGTTAAACCGCCAGCAACGCTGTCGTGACGCAAGAATCCTTTAAAAAAAATGTACAGGCATTGAATACTCGAAAGTTCCTTGGTGTTGGTCGCACTCGTTTGGAAAAATCTGGCTGGGCGATGGGCCGCAGCCCGACGCCTATAATTCGAAGCACTCGGATACTCGAGGTGAGTCCTTGCAGTGCCTTCCCGTGTCCTAGCTTTGTCTCCACAATAATGGGTTAGAGCCTCGACCAACCATAATCCGACCGATGATAGCCCGCCCCCTCAAGCGGGCGAAGTTGATCACATTTCCGGGGATGGCGACGGACTTTCTTGTCTAACCCACCCGATCTGCGTCATGGCAGTACCGAGGCCGTGGTCGACAAACTTCTTCTTCCCCCTTGCCGCCTTGTGGACTGTACGTCCGGCGCATCAAGGATTGAGTTCGGTCGACGGCCTTGATGAGTGTTGTTGACGGCGGGTCACGACAATGCCCCGAGTGGCTGATAGACACAGAAATGTGAACCGAATGTGCTGATACACATCGCGAGTCAGGGAACCAGCAATGAAGACGACTTTGGCCTCATCCACAAAGCGCTCATCTCAGAGTGGTCACTGCTGGTTACATTACAACAATCCACCCTTCTCTGTGGTATGATAATGACCCTTATTTGCGGTATTTTGATCCATTTGTGAGAACTGCAACGGCAAAACACCCTTCAGAAGCTTGCTCTCAGGGCCATGAAGCAATTCAGCCTTGCGCAGGTCTCTCAACATGCGAGGAAAGGCGACCTTTACATGATCTATGGAAACCAGGTCTATGATGTTACACGCTTTGTCGCAGAACATCCGTAAGTCCTGCTATATGGGATGGCATCCCCCGGGGGTGGCGGGAGGTAGAACGTCGTGCTGATTGTTTCATATTAAAGAGGAGGGGAGGAAGTGATTATGGATTGCGCGGGCAAGGATGGTACCGAAGCATTTGACGAGGTTGGCCATTCAAAGGAAGCCCATGACCAGCTCAGAGAACTCTTGATAGGGTCGTTAGACCAAGTGGTATGTTCCTAACAAGCATTTAAATTATGGTTTTCATCTTCCATTACAACCCCAGCCCTATTGTTCCATCCACAGAGCAAGGCTAATGTTGCATGTCGGTTCAGTCCGCTGATGCCGTTGCGAAGGCTCGACTCAAAAGCAAGGTGAAGGATAACCCTTCCAGCAACCTCATGCTCTACGGCATCATTGTGGCCATTGTGGCAGCGGTATTGGCTGCTTACTTCTACTCAGTCGACGATGGAAGGGTACTTGGATTGTTGAAACCATGGATAGATCCCGAGGCAGAGGGATCTGATATCCTTCGGAACAGCTGGCGTGTTTGGAGCGACGCCGGAAAGTAATGTTACATATCTTGATTTCTACAAGAAGCAATGCTACTGTAGAATCGGATGCGCCCTGACTCTGATTCTCACTAGCCATAAAACAGGCAAGAATTTATCCCTGAGAGCCGTGTTCCAGCCCCCTTCAGTTATTATAATCCATGATACCTCGAAACAAACTCCTAGGATCCATTGCGAAGTCCAGATCCCACGTCAAGTCGTCCCATAGTCCGCGAGTCTGATAGTTGTTTGTGGCTTGCTCACCATAGTTGCCGTCCCCATTCAACATGTCAGTGCTCGATAGGCAGGACTCGTCAAAGGTGTATTGGTCATTGTGGCCGTCACAGTCCTTGGTTCCCATACCACCCATCGCTGCTGCAACGGCGACCTCGTCGATAGAAGCATAGCGACTTTCCCGACCACTGCCGTTAGAAGCCGTGGCTCTACCGTCAGGATTCATGTCCAATCTAGCCGGCAGGAATTGCTGGGCACCCACAGAGTGACTGTCGTCCTGGTTACAATTTGGGGGGCAACCGGCGTCAATGGCGGGGTTATGAGCCATAGATGATTGTGCAGCTGGGAAGTGGCCACCGACATGACGATCTCTCGAAATCGTGGACTGCACATTGTTGGTGGATGAAATTGTGTTCCTATCTCTATTCGCGCAGGTGGCATGATTCGGGTGAGACGGCCGGCGAGCTTTGGGGGTTTTGAACAAGCGCAATTTGCCTTCAACTGACGCCAGATTCTCCTGGAGCGTTTTGGGCAAGTCCCAGAACTCGGAGAACTCCATCAGGATCATATGTAGCACGGTAAACTTGGATTCGACCCAGTCGAGGTTCGTGCTTGGTGGTGCCAGCACTTTCCAGCCCAGATGAACCACCGCCCCGTACCAGATGGTGCTGGCTAGGAACGGGTTGACATAGCGGACATGCTCCTCTGAGCTCCATGACACAATGCGCAGCAGCTCATCCGCAGCCTCGATGAACTGCTGCATCCCCTCTCTGGCTGGTCCGAGACGCAGGCTCAGCGACTCGTTCTCTGATGTGGCATCTGAATCTTGGTTCGGGCCCTCCTGAAGACCGGTAAGATGTAGATCTTGCTGGGCACCATGGTACGCGTCCTGATGATGGATCATCATACGCGTGAGCTGAGTGGTTACATGGATACTGTACTTCGCGCTATGCAGCTGCCGTATTGCTGGGTCATTAGCAGTGAAGGACAAAAACCCATCCCGGTAGCGCAGATGCTTTGGAAGAGCCATGCTGAAGCACCGCAGAGCATTGGCAAGGATCTGCAAACTTTCCGTATTGTCCTTTGATGGTTCGTCGGACGGAGACCAGGCTGAAGGAGGCGATGTCCCCCTACCAGGGCACGGGCTTCTGAATTTCGAGAGTCGATGGCCCTCGCGCATGAGAGAATCCAGTACGAGAAACCATGCCTTGGAGCTCTGGGTACTGCATTGTTGAAGAGCCTTTAACCGCTCCATTGGCTTCGTCTCAAGAAAGCAACTCGGGGTGAAGCGCAGAGCGAACCACTCTTCGTCCGCCACTGGGAAGCGTGTCTCGTTATCAGTGCCGTCGACAGCGGTTGGACAGCGCCTTATGAGGCTGGCAAAGTTGTCCATTTCCCAGATTGCCCACCAGGCGCGCCTGCACTCCTCTATCCGGCACCAGATATCTGGGTCTTGCTGTTCGGGCGTGTTATCTCGGTCGACGTGATGGAGGTCAAGCTCGTATGCGACACGAACGCAGATCCCCAGCCGCCGCCAAGCTGCACCCCGGACCCCTTTGATTAGCTGGCTGAATGTGTTGAGGACGAGAGCTTGTAAGACACACAGCGGCGGTGAGCGATCCGAGTACTCGGCCAGTGCTTGATCGACATATCGTAGAGCCATGTCCTCGAAATGTTTGGGCGGAAGTAGTGGACCGAGACCGTCGTCCAAGTCAGCGGCGCCCTGATCCGAGATGAATCTATAGCGCGCTGAAAATGAGAAGATCGACGCAAGCAACGCTGCAAGCTGCTCTACCGAGTCGATGGCGCACAACTTGGCCGCAAAGGTAGGTCGATGGAAAAGCGAAAAGGATGTCATATTGTCGAAGTAGAGGTCTAAACTGTTGAGGAGGACAGAGGGTCAGCCTCGATCACGCCAGAAGCAAAGCAGTGAAGAAGGAAGGGACAAGACCACCTACTACGACTGAAGAGCATTTGCTGGGACTTTGAGCAAGGCACACGCTTGCGCGAGCCGGTCTATGTTGTCTAGTGTGGTGCTCGACTTGCTGGAAGACACAAACTCCATATTGGAGAGGGTTATGGCTGTCTCGTGAGAAGGATGCATGATAAAGGCCAAAGTGCGTACATCGAGCGGCGTAGCAACAGGTGTCAGAGGATAGCCACCGACAGGCCCCGACTTGAAACTGGCAGACGTTGGTGTCGGGCTTCCATTGGCAGCACTAGCACTCGAAACCAGAGTCGTGCTCGCTTCCAGCTCTGTCCTGCCATCGGCGCTCTCGACAGGCGCAGTAGAGTCCGAGACTTCTGTGATGGTGGGCTTGTCGCGCTGCTTCTCCAGAGAGCTAGATCGAGGTCTTTTCCGTCTGGTTGTGCCTATATAAGCCATCAGCGAACGAGCGCGACCACGAATAGATGCTTGGGGCCTCATATCGTACCAAGCTTGGGACCAGGTCTTGCTGCTTCGGATGGATAGTCACATTCTTGTTGCGTCTTGAGGCATATCGAGCATCTAGGGAGGATGCGATCACTGCATCGAACACGATTCACATCAGCTAGATCTATCTAGATGTGGTCGTCCAGCATACCATTTGACCTTGCGCCTAAGAGTTCATGTCAGCTTGCTATGTTGCCATGTACCTCATACTTTGGATTCATCAAGGAGACGGGAAGCCAATCGCACATCAGCCACGCCAGCGATGTAACCTATGATTGAACAGACAAAAGACAGAGAGGAGAAAGCAGCGCATACTTTTTGCAGAACTTGCATGCAAAAGGTGATCGATCAGCCTGGGTCATGGATTCTGGCATTGGGTATAGTGTCTACTTGAAATGAAAAAGTACGACAAGTATCGTCTGGTGTTGACCACACGAGGTGTTGGTCAATTTTGTGGCCAATTCGAAGTTGGAAGAAAGCGGAGATCTCAGGGCCCTATTCGAAGGGATCAAAGAGAAAAGTCGAGCGTTTGAGGAATTTTCTGGGGACGGCATGATCCATAGATCCTCTTTTCTGTCCCTCGTATACCTGCCTAGCCACTAGGTAGTTTGCGGGGTTGCCCCCAGTTCGATGATCCCCTCCCCCAGCTGGGGCCTGGGGGGACCGATGAAGGCCTTAGGAACCAGTAGAATAACACCTAGGGTGCGCCAGAACAACGAGAGTTTATCTAGAGAATAATAGCTAGTTTAGCTTGTGAGGCCGAGCAGTGCCTTGCTGGACACCCCCGATACGCACCAGTTCACGCAGGTATGAATGACCTATAGGAAATACAACCTCGACATCCAGCTGTATGGTTGCAGGCGACGGGGAATTGACACGCTGTCGCTGTGTCAGTATGCCTGAAGTATCGAACGACGTCATGTCCTCCGTTTACAATCTCCGTCACCAGGGAATCGTTCAACGGCACAGCCAATCATGGTTCAATCATAGTAAGGACATAGAGAATAATGGGTTTCTTCGTGAAAAATAGTTAGGGTCACATCTGGTTGCTGCTAACCAGCGCGAGGCCGGCAAGGCGGGCGATATTCGGGCGATCTTGAATTGGAATCCGACCGACGGCCTCAAAAGGACCACAGCAAAGAGGAGGAAGAGAAAAGAGTTTGACAAAGTCTTATAGCGGTTCTCGGCTCTTGGCTAGTGTATTGCTTCTACTCCCACCAGTCTCTATTGTCGGCTCGTGAATAGAGAGTCATCCAGTCGTTGAGGGATGAGACCTAGAGCCTTGAACTCTGATAGGTTGAGCTGGGCTGGACTGGATTTTTATGGCTTGTTAAAGTCCACTACGATACGCCTAATCATTTTTTGTCAGCTGGCATTCGACCATGAATGAGAAGGAGGATGCATTACCCAGCGACTTGTCCGTTCTTTAAACGCTGAACCGCCTCGTTCCACTGCGACACTCCGACGATTTCTGGGTCGAGATGAAGCTTATCTGCTCGTAGATCATTGGTCAATCAACTGCTCAACACTGCTCACATGGGGATTGAACTCACTGCGTTTAGCAAAGTCAAGCGCCTGTGTGATTTCGCCCAATGAGCTGACGATGGTGCTTGTGACTGATTGGTTTCTAGCCATAAAATTCGAAACAGTGGGATCAAGGGTGATGGTATGCGTGTTTGGGGGTCCAAGACCAATACACATCAGCCTTCCTCCTACTCGATCACCAAGGAACCCCATGGCAGTGGGATAGGCTTGGATCGCAGTCACAAAGACACCGTGGGCACCGCCATCGGTCAACGTTACTACATCAGCCACTGCGTCCTTGGTCTCTCTGAAGTCCACGAAATGCTCAGCGCCGTACTTTCGACTCAGTTCCTCTCGTTTCGCCCCAGTGTCAACCACGATAGGACGGAGGCCCATAGCGTATGCCAGCTGAACGCCTTGAAGCCCAACCCCGCCTCCGCCACCAACGAACACAGCCCATTGCCCTGCTGACAGATTGGCCGTCTTTAGAGAATGCAGCATAGTGGATGCTGAGCACATGACTGGTCCCGCGATATAGTCGCTGACACCGTCTGGAATCAGGGCAGTATATCGCTCCGGCGAGACGATGTACTGTTGATATGAGCCTTTGAGATCGTCATCAGCTAAAAGAGACTACTTGTGTAGGATCGAGGAAACAAACCAGGTTTTTGCAGTCCCGTGGAGACCATGCCTTTACAGTAATTCTCCCGACCGGACAGACAGACATCGCATGCATGACAAACATCCCAAGTTGGTTTGATTCCAGCACGCTGGCCTACCTTGAGAGATGTGACCTGCGCTCCAACTTTGACAATTACTCCCGCACCTTCGTGGCCGGGAGATCTCGTCTTAAAATGTGACATGGATGGTACGCCCAGGTCATTGAGCATATAGTGTACATCGGACATGCACAAGCCCGTCGTGTTGAGCTTGATCAGGACTTCATAGGGGCCGGGCTCTGGGACAGGCACCTCGACGACCTCGATGTGGAAGTCTGGCCCCTCGTTGACAACCACGCCGGCGAGGCACTGCTTTGGAATCTCTTCCATGGTCATTGATGAAACCGCTGACGGAGGAAGAGTCAAGGTAATGTTTCTGCACCAAGGGACGACAAAAATATAGACAAACAGACTGCGAAGAGTGTCTGAACTGGGAAACAACCTGCCGGGCTCTGATCGATCACTGAATGAAGTAAATCCTCCTCGGGAAGAGAAACCGAGCGTGGATACTTGTCCAAATTTGGTAGCCCGAGGTCCGAGTGGATTGTTCGACAACAATACCAGTTGCCCAGAATAGAGGGGTTAAGAGTGGCGCGTCGAGTCACTGGACCAAGAGTCAAGGTCATATAGACATCCACGGGAGGAAATACCCTGCTTGAACTAATGCGCTCGGGTCTCTGGTGCTTCGGGTTTCCAGAACTATTCTAACTTATTTACTCTTCACTAATCTGCCCGGGCAACGTGATAATAGATGTATGTCGATCGGACGCTCTCCACAAATGTAAATTGTGTCGCTTCCAGGATAGTTCTGTTTGTGAAGGCGAAGGACGTGTGAGCACCGACAATGACCCCTGAGAGGTTATGATCAAGCCGCCGTGCCGCGCCCAGTAATAGTTGAGGCGACCAAATGCGGTGACGAATGACCACAACTCGCTCACATCGGTTGTAAACGACCTATCCCATGCCGTGGGACTTACCTGGCGAGATTGTGGATCGAGCCAACAGCTTATTTGGCTGATTGTTGTGTTGAGGTTGTTCACGCCCACCCAACGCCGGCCGTGGTGTAGATTTGGTCTCCCAAGGTGGACCACCCTGGCCTGTAAAAGCCCAGGTCAGATATGAAGAGTCGGGGCAAGTAAAGTCTTTGGTCCAGCCATGAATCCAATAGGCACCATGGTCAGTCACGAAGGCAAACATTTTGCCTGGATTGTGCGCTTGTGCGCGGCGTAGGCCTGGTCCAGTTTTGTGGTCGTGCCATTGTAGCTGATGGTTCCAGTGGCCATCAGGTAATGATGCCGCCCGTCACGCTCGAGCAATCATTACTCGTCGCCATGGTGCCCGGATCACAGGCTTGGAGCTTGGCGAAGGAGGCAGCGTATAGAAATTCATCCAGGTCGGTCGTCATAGAAATCTGATGTACTCGTACGAGGCATTGGGCTTTTGACTACTCGGCAATCGGGATCGTGAATCAAGTCTTGGCGCCAAGTATTAAGAGAAATGTGATACATCAAGCATGTGCCAGGAGTTGTCAGTCTGACACCTCTCACTACACTTGCCGACCTACACGCCTCTTCCACAGACACATCGATACCATTTGTTAGCCTCACAGCGATAGATCGTCGAGCACCGAGCCCGTAAAGAGCCAAAAAAGGCCAGGCACCGCGTCCTTGAGAGTTTTGTCTGGCCAGCTTCTAATGGTATCGCTGTCGTGCCGGCCCACCCGCTTCACCGCTCGACGTCTCCCTGCCGGCCTACACCCGCCTCCACCTCGCAACCGTCATATCTCTCGGGAACACGGGTCATGTTCAAGAGTGAGGGCCCTTCGGAAAAATAGAGGATATTCACTCTGATATGGTGTCTGCGACAAGGATTCGCCTGGAATCTTACCGCCACTGTCCTTTGAGAGGTCCGGCACCACGCAGTAATCGAGGTCTCAATGCCTGATTCGCCCCATTTTCTCTGCTTTATTGATTAAATGAACTCGTAATGGCAAGAAACTGATGATCAAAGCGTTGCGAACGACCTTTAATAGCGAGGCTGCCGCCAGCATACCTCGCTCTTCACTCCGGCGTTTGAGCCTCGAAACATGGTTCATCCTTGCCTTTCTCGGCAGCATGCTTCGGTTGTGAAGAGAAAAGGTCCGGGGAAATAATCTGGGGAGGGGTCTGGGGACTCCTTCGACCCGGGTACTTCAATGGAGCTTGCCTGGCCGTCCGAATGTCAAGGACATCCTTGCACTCCCGTCCACCTGTCTTTCTTGGTCCAGCTATCTCGGTGACTATCCAAGGATGAAGCTTATTCTGTCTGGTCTCTTTGGCCTCCAAGGCTTGCGTGTCGTAACCGCAATCACCGAATGCAGCGTGCAGTCCTTGCAACAATTCATTGGAGACTTAGGAGCAGCGACAGTGACGTTTGCACAAGCGCTCCCACAGAACAGCACTTTCGGCGGAGGCCCCGCTGACCTTGAGTTCCCAGTGAATGACACAGGTCTCCCGGCGCTTTGTGTGGTCATAGTCAATGTCAAATCTTCCCATACATCCTCCTATAACTTTGGCCTTTTCCTGCCACAGCAGTGGAACGCTCGCTTTATTGCCACCGGCAATGGTGCATATGCCGGCGGGATCAATTGGAACGATATGGGCACTAATGCCAGGTATGGATTCGCATCTATGTCGACCGATACTGGGCACATCTCCGGATCCTTTGATGCGAGTTGGGCGCTGAACAACCCGGAGGCGCAGCTTGACTGGGGCTATCGGTCCATGCACGGCTCAGTCATCTATTCCAAGCTGATTACCAGTGCGTATTATGGGACAAACATCAGCTATTCGTACTATTCCGGATGCTCTACTGGTGGTCGACAAGGATTCCGAGACATCGAACTGTATCCAGAGGACTTTGATGGAATTCTAGCTGGAGCCCCTGCGTGGTGGACGACGCATCTACAGCCAGACAATGTTCAAGTGGCCCTCTCCAACCTCCCGGTTGACGCTGCGACTCACATCCCGTCTTCACTTTTCCCCGTGATCGGAGCTGAAGTCCTTCGACAATGCGATCCCCAGGACGGCTTTATGGATGGAATCATCTCTGACCCTGAGGGATGCAACTTTGTCCCAGAAATGCTACTTTGCACTCCTACGTCGAACAAAAGCGCCTGTCTGACAGGTCCACAATTGGACACCTTATACCACATCTACAACGACTGGTGGGAGACAAATCAGACATTTGTCTTTCCGCACTACGAATTGGGATCCGAGGCTCAGTACGGTTTCCTTCTCAATAGTAAGTCACTTTTTGAGCCTTTCCTTTGTAATGTGCAGATTGGGAATGGGGCGAGAATAAAGTTTGTCTCAAGGCCATTCTAAATTACTCCCTAATTTGTCCGTCTGCATCTGTTTCAGAGGATAATCTTCTAGTTTGGAGATGTTGCTGATCCTGAGGACTCGTTGCAGCGGACTCTGGGACCCCTACTGAACCCGGAATTGCATGGATTCAAAACTTCCTCTACAACGACACAACCTGGGACTGGCACGATTTCACCTACCAGGTGATCCTGGACGCAGACAGAATAAACCCCGGTCAGGCCAATGTCGGATTCGACTTCAGCGGATTCTACCAGCGTGGCGGCAAGATCATCCAGTATCATGGTCTAGCAGACGGGCTGATCCCTACGCCGAGCTCCGAAGTTCTCTACAAGAACATTTGGAGGACCATGGGAGCCGCAGGGATCCCTCTTGATGGCTGGTATCGCATGTTCCTGATTCCCGGCATGCAACACTGTCAAGGCACAGCAGTTGAGGCACCCTACTACATTGCCTCTGCCGGTCAACCCTTTGAGCTGGGCCAAGATGTCTGGAGTGTTCCTGGGTTCAGCGATCCACAGCACGATGCTCTTCTAGCGCTCTTGGAGTGGAGGGAAAATGGGATTGCTCCGGAATTCATCATTGGCACCAAGTTCATCAATGAGACGGTCACGGAGGGTGTACAAAGGCAGCGACCAATTTGTATGTATCCGATGCAGGCAAAGTACAATGGCGAGGGAGATCCAGATCTAGCGGAGAGTTGGAATTGTCAACTTCTATACTAGAAGAGGGATCAGATTCGACAGTTTCCCTGGCCTAGAGGAAAGGGAGAAGGCTCCCTGCTTCTCTTCAAAGCCCAGTCCCTGTCGTATTGAAGATCTGAATCTATTGGCTTTCACTTATGACTTCAATCTAGTTTTGTAGTTTCCACCACAGTTCCGATCTCGCGTTGGATCTTGTCGACGTCGACATATGCTTTGCCTGTACGAACCAGCTCGACATCCGGCACATCGGAGTGCTTGTGTCCCTCAAAGAGAGCATCGATCTCTTCCAACGTTCGGCCTTTCGTCTCGACCCAAAAGACCACCTGAAAGGTCAGTTCGAGAACCCAGGCAAAAACAGAGGGGTGTTCGACTCACAATCAAGACCACAACTATAATATCCCACGAGCCATTGATTATGTACATTTTCCACCCAATGTTGGTCAAGCCGATAGGCATGACGAACACAAGGAGGACCCTGGCGAGGTTAGCAACTGGGCAGCGACTGGACTGCGCAGATAGTGAGCTTACGCTAGAGCATTTAGCATAAAGGACGAAAAGGCAAGTCCATTTGCCCGAATCGCGTAGTTCATGATCTCTGGCGGGTACAGGTAGAGCAAAGGTGTCCATGCGATCGAGTAGAATCCTTGGAACAAGAACATGACTGCCACATCTCCATAGACGAGACTTTTGGACGCTCCGTCGGGGTTGTCAGCGTACATTTTCGAGAGGCCCCCAATGATGAACAGGCACACAATGAGCAGACACTGAGAAAGTATCGCGGTAGGTTTGCGACCCCAGCGCGCGGCGAGTTGTGTTCCTCCGAGGGCACATGCCAGGCACCAGACATTGAGCACGACGTTCTGCGGGAGTCAGTTGCGGCCTGCACTGCTCGTACAGATGGACTCACCGCCTTGAGTTGGTCGTTCGAGTTCGTGATACCTGCGGTATCCAGCTCGGGACCCAGGTAGTACGAGGCGATGATATTGCCAGCAATACAGGAGAAAGGTCCCGGCGACATACCTATCAGGAGGCGTTTTCTCGAAGTTGGGTTCTTGATGGTTTCTTTGAAGGTCATGAGGTTCTCCTTTTCCCAATTCAGGGTGTCGACAATCTCCTTGTATACTGCGAGCACAACAGGGTCACTCAGGTCTCCGTTGGCATTTGTCTGGGCGACAGAGATGCGTCCCTCATCATAGAAGCCTTGGTGTATCAGCCATCGTGGAGATTCAGGGCTACCAGGTCAGCTTCCAGGTCGTATGTCCAAAGACGGAGACTTGGGCGCCTACATGAATGGCAATATGATAATGCACAAGAGCGAGAAGATCCCCTGGAACAATGAAGGTGCCCTCCAAGCCCATGTTGACTGCCACTGACCCGTGCCCAGTGTGATTCCGGCCGCAATCAAGGCGCCGACAATGCAAAGCAGTCAGTGAAATCATTCCTCCGTGAAAGGGCAGTCTTACTAGTAGAAGTCATTCAGCAGCCCGACTCCCCATGCACGATATTTGCTTGGGTACGTCTCTGCCAAGTAGACGCTGCCTGCAATACCAGAAACGGCTGAGCCAAAACCTAGAACAATGCGAGCAACAACAAACATTGCAATGTTCTGAGCAGCGGTCTGAAGTAGGACTCCAACTAGGGTCAAAATGGAACCCCAGAGTACTGCTGGACGTCTACCTAGACGATCGGCGATGATTCCAGAGACAATGGGGCCAAAGAAACCGCCAATGAACACGGAAGCAGTATTGAGGCCAGTGGTTGCAGCATTGAGATTGAAGTAATCCGTGTATGATGGTAAGATGTTGAGGCCATTGAGCATGGATCCGTCATATCCACCAGTCTGGTCCTCATTAGAGCGATCAAGGAATATAGAGGCAGACACTACCTACCGCCGACTGTACCATGGAGCAGAATATCAAGAATATAGAGAGGGTCACTGTCGACTCCGGTACCCATGCCGGGAGCCAGGTACCAGTGGCAGTCTTTTGCAACATCTTGTCGTGACTTCTCTGTGTTCAAAGGCAAGGGCCAACTGTGATCTGACACAGAGAAGAGTCAAAGGGAGTGTCACTACAAACAACATGTTGCGGAAACGCTTGAGCTGATAAAGTACCGAGAGGCGAACAGCCGGCCCCTCCATAAGGTCGCATCTCGTGCCTCTCTGGATGAAACCCAAACTGATAACGATCTTCATATCGCCTTCCATGAGCTGTGACGAGCGGAGAACAGCGACAGAAGCAAATAACCGAGATATTTTTTGTATGTGCATAGACAGGTGACCGGCATCAAGGGTTGGGCGTGAAGTTCATCACTAAGAGATCTCCAGGTGATAAACCATATTCGGCTCGGCCCAGACTCCAAGCTTCTACTGGCGTGAGCTTAGCCTGAATCCTTACGAGCCAAAGATGACAACTTTAAAAGGAAGGAGGATAACCCCTCGGCCGTGCTGGCTGAGATAGGCAGAACTGCACCAAACTGCCACGATGGCTAAGAGGCCAGCCATTGCTATCGCCGGCCTTGCGTGCGAAACTTCGATATTCACGCCCTCCAGGACTTTTGCGCCTGCTTTCCATGCCAAACGCGGCGCCGAAATCATTGAGAAATATCCCTTCCTCCAGAGTGAAAGCGGCCTTGGAAATATCGCGGACTTCCACGGAGCTTTGATCGGTCATGCGCTACCAGGAGGGATTGTAACGCGCGCCTCTTTTGAGGAATTGGCCGACGAGATTATAGAGCGTCTGAAGGTGATTGTGTCGTCGACAATCATCCATGGACTCTGGTACGATATCCACGGCGCCATGTGCGTCGAGGGCCTTGATGACTCTGAAGCAGAGCTTCTTCGGCGCATCCGACGACTTCTTGGTCCTACGGTGGTTGTGTCAGCATCGATGGACTTGCATGGCAATGTGAGCCGCGAACTCGTGCACGAGGCAGATCTCATCACCTGTTACCGCACAGCACCACACATCGACGTGCGTGAGACCAAGGAAAGAGCGTGCCGCAACCTGGTCGAGCTACTCACAAAGTCTCCCGCAGGCAGAAGGGCAGATGGAAGTCCTGTGCGACCACTCAAAGCATGGATCCCAATTCCAGTCCTTCTTCCAGGAGAGCAGACTTCCACTCGTATCGAGCCCGCAAAGCACATCTATGGTACAGTTCCTGCCGTCGAGTCCAACACGGGGGTTGTTGATGCAGCAGTCTGGGTCGGCTATCCATGGGCTGACGAACCGCGAAACCGAGCAGTTGTCGTGGTGACGGGCTGGGATGAAGACGCGATCAAGCTTGGATCAGAACAACTTGCACGGGTGTTTTGGGATGCGCACGAGGACTTTGACTTTGTCGGGCCAACAGGTTCCTTTGACGAATGCATCGGCGAGGCTGTAGCATCCAAGAAGCATCCTTTCTTCGTCAGCGATTCGGGAGACAACCCAACTGCCGGTGGAAGCGGCGACATGACCTGGGGCTTGATGCACCTGCTGGCTCGTCCAGAGTTTAAACAATCTTCTGGCCCAACAGTCATCTATGCCAGTGTCCCGGGCTCCAAAGCAGTCAATACATGTGTCGATGCAGGCATAGGGGCAACTGTCACAGTGACCGCCGGCGCTGAGGTCGACCATATCCATTCGGGCCCGATCACCATGACAGGCCAAGTACATGCCATCAAACGCGGCGACAGAGATGCTCGTATCGAGGTTGTGCTACGAGTGGGCAGCGTCTTCGCCATCCTCACCGAACTCCGCAAGCCTTACCATCACGAGCATGACTTTACGGATCTCAACCTCAAGCCTCGAGAAGCAGATATCATCATTGTCAAGATCGGGTATTTGGAACCTGAATTGCACGACATGGCGGCCGACTGGCGATTGGCCCTTTCGCCTGGTGGTGTTGATCAGGATCTGAAACGACTTGGACATTCCCGTATCAATAGACCCATGTGGCCTTTCGACAAGTTTGACAAAGCTCCTTTCCTCTCAGCCCGCATCATTCCACCATCTCACGATCCTCTTTGCGGACAAGATGAAGGAAGCACAGCGTGACAGGTCAAATCGTGTACATAGGGCCGAATCTTCATCTACCTTACCCTCGCCTGCTACGTGATATGATGCTGTGTTGGGCGTGAGGACTCACAAACTACGGCAAGGTCAAGCAAAACATCCTCGATAACACGATGGTTTCCAGCTGCGTACTTCGCATCGTGTTCTTCATTCTGAAGGAGCTCTCGCTCTCCAAGCTTGTCTGCCTGACAAACTGACGGCTAGTCAACGTACAAGGTCTCCAGCGTCAAAAGGATTAACCGTCACCCACCGATCATTGTCTCTCTGTGTATTTCTGGTCCACTGCTCCCCTGCATCGAACTCTGCAGGGGTGTTGCATGAGGATTCCCGGTTTCCCCCGCTGACTTCCGGGGTGTTGGGTTACTAGGCTGCATACGACGGTCAAGCGGAATGCAAAGCAGTTCAGGAGCTGAACAGAATTCATCCTTGAGTATATACATGGGCATCTCCAAACCGAGCTTACACTGGTAAACAACGCTCTCATTTGCTGAAAATTGACAATTCCAGCTATCTAACCATGAAGCTTCTTTACCCTACCTCTTTGAAGCTCGACGTAGCCAGTCTCGAAGGCTTCGGCGTCACATTACACCCCTACGATGTTCACAAGCTAATCCCCGAGGAACTTGTCGACGCAGAGATTCTTGTGACATGGGCTAATACCAACCTCCGCGATGCTGCCAAACGAATGAGCAGACTTCGCTGGATTCAGTCCCTCTTTGCAGGCCCCAACGACGAGCTCGCTGCTGGTTTCCCATCCAATGTCATCATAACGGCCGGCACTAATCTGCACAACGAGACTGTTGCTGAGCACGCTCTAGCTCTGGTGCTCAGCGCTGCTCGCCGTCTTTACGAGATGCGGGATTTCCAGAACCAAGGCAAGTGGCCAGGACATTTGGGCGGATTCCTACCCGACCGACCCCAGGGATCGTTCACCTCCTTGAAAGGTGCCAACATTACCATTTGGGGGATGGGGAATATTGGACGCACGCTTGCACCACATCTGACCGCTTTGGGCGCCAACATCCGAGGAGTCGGACTGTACGAAGAAATCATTGACGGGATCCAAGTGCATACCAATGCAGCATTGCCTAGCCTCCTCCCACAGACGGATTGTCTCATCATGATTCTCCCAGGCTCCCGAGCGACATGGCATTCTCTCAACACGGAGCGGCTGGCAAAGCTGCCCCAACATGCCTGGGTGATCAACGTTGGGAGAGGTATCTGTGTGGATGAGGATGCATTGGCTCACGCCCTTAAAAAGGGAATAATCGGCGGCGCAGCTCTGGATGTCTTCCATAAAGAACCACTACCTGAGTCTTCCCCGCTATGGAAAGCACCGAATCTAATCATCTCGCCTCATGCCGCTGGAGGAAGACCACGATACTCGGAACTGCTCATCGCCGAGAACCTGCGACGCTTCCTTGCTGGACAACCGCTCAAGCATGACGTGACTGCGGGTGGAATGTATAGCACTTCCCCGAAGAATAGCTCGACACTCAAGGCCTCGCTGTAGGACAGACATGACAGGAAGGGGAAAGGCAAGTGGGGCCTGGTGGACAAAATAGGTTGTGATCCAGGCAGAACTAAACACGTTGATGGTGTGCTGACCATGTCCCTCCGGATCTCTGCGCATTGGACTTCTCAAATGGATAGACAATGCCGTTATCTTTCCTCAGTAACATCTGCCTGGCTGCTTACTTGGCTCTGTAATGCTTGTCTAGGCCATCATTTCTCCCAGTAGCGCCTGATCCCTGCCCAGTCATCAATTTGTTTCCCGAATTCTCCCATTGCTCTCACCTTTGACGCGCTCTCAATCTTCTGCCGACAGGATTAGGCAACCAAAGTCGAGATGCCAAGAAGGTTCTTAATTTGTCCAGAATGATGCACGCTCTGTTGTACTCAACAGTTCTGTTTGTGGCTGTGGCATAACGGGGTGCCTTCCATGGACATCATTAGCACGAAGTTTCTTTCAATTGACCACATATTCGAGCAACGTCTAGGGCAGACTGGAGACCACCCAATGGCTGGAGATGCGACATTCAGCATTTGTGGCTGCCGTGGGATGGGGCCTACTTGAATATCGCACAAGGTACCGGAACAGATCACTTAGGCTTCGACGCTGCATATGTTTCATGCTTCGGAAAGAACGCCTGTTTCACTCCATCCGTATCCAGCGAACTGTGAAGACAAACTCTGCTGAGTGAGAGGCGGAATGTATCAAGTCAGCACAGTTCGCGATGTCGACAAACTCTCCAACGTCGTTAAAATAACCCACATGCTCCTGTTGTATATCGCCACATCTCCACGCGGCGAGAATTCCCCGGATGCATGGCGATATCTGTTTCGCCCAGCCATACCTGGAACTGCCCGATGAAGAATGGTCGTCGGAGCGAGATTGCGGGGAAAACGCCTTATTTTAAACAAGATACGGGGTGTTAAGTCACAAAAGATACGGGGTACTGTGCATACGCATCCACTAGTTGGCTGCAGACTGAATCAAATTCGACCTCGTCCTTCAATCTCCCGGGGCTACCATCCTCGGCGGTGGCCAGGACGGTGCAGGATGGCCTCGATACTATTTTCAAGCTCACTGCCCATCATTTGGTTGACTCATCACAGTAATTCCCCGACCGGACATATCACGACCCCTTGTGATACGACTTGTGGTCACCGGAGAGGACAGCATTGTCCCAAAGCATGCTCGTTTCTCCTGGTTTCCCCGACTTCATCCGACGCCAGCTCGAGACCGTGGCACCTCTCTGCAGAAACAAGGAGTTGTCGTAAGCTCTACACGTTGGAATGTTGCTTGGTATGCACGGTAGAATATTTACCCCCAAGACAAACATCCCTGAGAACTCCGAACGGGATGGTTGCCAGAAGGCCAGACGACCCCACTTGCAGGGAGAAAATCAGAGCAGTAATCAGATTGAGAGCCGCAAAGGTCTAATCAGATCTTTACAGTTCATCTTCTCATACTTACTTGTACAGGATTGCTCTGTCGCAGCTGGTGTAACAATATACCACTCGAATACCTCCCCTTTTCTCCAGAACCACACATTTTATTCCTACTTGCATCTTCAAACACAAACAAAATGGACTTGCAGATTCGAACAAGTCCCATTCTCCTCGCCCCAGGCCCGACTGAAGTCGACCCAGAGGTCCTCAGGGCCATGTCATCGTTTGCAGAATCACATTTTGCCCAGCCATTCTGCAACACTTTCGGCGATGTGCTAACCATGCTCCGCAGACTCTTCCAGAGTCAAGACCCTAATGCCCAGCCCTTTGTCATTGGAGGCAGCGGAACCCTAGGTTGGGACTTTGTGGCAACCAACTTCATCGAACCCGGAGAGCCAGTCCTCTGTCTCTGTACGGGATACTTCTCCGATGCGTTCGAGATGTGTCTGGCCACCTACGGAGCCCGCACGAAGAGGATCACGGTCCCTATCGGAGCTGCTCCCGACATACATGAAGTCGAGAAAGAATTGAAAAGGGTTCGATACAAAGCCTTAGTGGTGACCCACGTCGATACCTCGACGGCTGTGTTGACACCTTTGAAGCCGCTATCGGCGCTGCTGAAACGAGTGTCGCCCGAAACACTCTTGGTCGTTGATGGAGTCGCCAGTGTTGCGTGCGAGGAGATCCAGTTTGATGCCTGGGATATCGACATCGTTATTACCGGGTCCCAGAAAGCTATCGGCTGTCCTCCAGGACTCAGCATTATCATGGTCTCTTCTCGCGCTTTGGAGACTGCCAAGGCAAGGAAGGCACCAGCAAACACCTGGTATGCCAGCCTGGCACGCTGGCTACCGATCATGCAGAACTACGAGAAAAAGCAGTCGAGCTATTTTGCAACCCCCCCTACTCAAATTGTCCATGCTCTTCATGCCTCCCTGACGTCCATTTTGTCACGCCCACTAGAAGAGCGATTTGAACAACACCGGCGGAAAAGCGCCCAAGTGAAAGCTGTGGTGAAGGCATTGGGCTTGACGCAGTTGACAACAGAGTCAGAGTACCAAGCCAATGGTTTGACGGCATTCTGGCTTCCTGATGGTCTGTCGTCGAAGGAACTCTTGTCACGCGTCACTGAGAAGGGCTTCACGATCGTTGGCGGTATGCATAGGGAGGTTGGTCATCAATATGTAAGAGTTGGGCATATGGGATACAGCGTCGTGGGCGAGCCTGAGAGACATATTGACTGTGGTTTAAAGGCCCTGAAAGAAGCAGTCGCGGAGTATTACGCCAGTAGGAGTGGCCATGTCCTTCCTGGAGAAGACCGCGGGCCCGTGGGTCTGGCTAGAGCAAGCTTGTAGTGAATTGATAGTCGCCGAGATGAGACCTCGCAGGACTTCTTACAGGTCGATAGCTAGTCAGCGAGTGAAGCCGACGCACTTGTTCCTTCTCGTGGTGCTCCGAATGAAGCTGCAGTGGCGAAGCTGGGGACGGGCACTCTGCTTGTAAGTGGCATTGGTCGGGCTTTGCATTTCGTTTTCAGGTTCGGGCTTGGCAGGGATACAGCCTCGTCAGATGCGATTGGATGGATTCAGTGAGTACTCGGAGTGTAAGGATCTGCCAGCGTCGATCATGGAGTTATGCTCGAGTCACAAGGGATCTATACATTCTAAGGGAAGAAATTGCCTTGGGGTGGAAGGGGTTTGAATGACGCTGTATCGATAATTGCAACAGGGAGGGTACAACTTAAGCTCCAGAGACAAAGCCTTCGAGGCCAGTGAGTCTCCCAAGCCAGAGACAGGATGGATAAATGTGCAAGCAGTTTTCATCTCTCCCATTGTAAGCCGGCGGGTCGCGGACGAAGTGCAGTGAGCATTTCCACCTCCTCTGATACTTAGGTGCGAGATGGGATCAAAGATGATCCTCTCTTCACCGATCGACAGAAGTATATTTTGGGCCCCTTTGAACTGTTTGGGTTCGTTGGTCTCGCATATTGCATCTACACAATCTGGCTGAAGGAAGAAAGCAATGCCAACGTGGGTAACAAGCGCAATCGGCGTTCGACCAGCGACGCCGATGATGATGACGGCGACGATGACGAGATCAACGGCGGCCACCAGAGCTTGAAGAAGGTCACTCGTGATTACGAGACCGGCTCGTTCTCCAGGATGTTGTTTTGCCTTGCATCACTTTCTTCGAGCGCTTCCACAGCTTTCATCCGAGGGGATATCACAAACAAGATGCGAGACCCGGAATTTCAGGCTGCGAAATGCTCGCACCTCCGATGCAGAGATACGCAGGGTGGCTATGCCGTGTTTGTGGCTATCGACTCTCCGTCAGACTCGTCTCAGATGCCATCACAAATTGCGCCTTATGTCGGTCGCGGTTTATCCTTGAACCAACTCAGGAAGGTCCTTGACAGCATGCGACTCTACGTGTCTACGGATCAGCCGGGGTCATGTAAGCTGGCTATGGATTTTGACGAGCAAAGTCAACACGTGGCGCTCAAGATCAGACACCACCGAGGCGAGAGAAGGTATGGTGGTGGCCACCTCCATAAAGACCTTAGAAGGCACGTATACTGGCTGGACACCATCGAAACGGCAATATTAAGGCACCATGGAAGTATCAAGGGCAGAAATGAAGGACACCTGCTGGATGTTCCTCTAATGAGGTGTTGTGCTTATGTTGGTCTACCGGCGAACACGCAGCTGCTCCCTACCGGCCATTAGGGCCACCGTGGATCCGAAAGTCCAATATACAGGCTCTTCACAGCCACTGTGAGGTATCATTTCGGCAACCTCTTCAATGTTCAACATTCCACGTACAGAGTCTTCAAGACCACGAAGGTCGAAGATATTGGACTAGACGAGATCGTTGCCTCCGTGCTACTCTCCGCCTATCCCTGAGACCCTGGCCTGAGCTAAGTATAGGCAGGTGGCAGTACTGGATCCACGGCAAACAGGACCAGCAAGGCGTACCTTGACGGTCTCCGGCGAAATGCGTTGAGTATCTTGAACTCTGGGTTTGTTGATGACAACCTTCGTGATGCGAAAAGAAAGATTGAACGGGTCAAGAAGCTGCTCTCCTTTTTCGAGTCTCGAGATCAAGAAGTTGAAGAGTTTGAGGCCCAGGCTACTCAGACTGTTGCCGATTTCGAAGCCCTTCTCGCCACAGGCGAGGAAAGGCTCGCAGAGATCGAGGCAGAAGAAGAGGAACGAGCAAAGCCGGAGGACGAGTATCTCAAGGCTCAGAAAGAGATGCAAGAGATCACAGATGCGCTGGACGTTCTTTCGTCGTGAATACTTAGAAGGCGACATATCCTTCCTTCACTTCAGGGAGCGAATTCTCTCTTGTGCTGTCAGCCTCAAGTATCAGGTGGATGAGGAGCAGCAGGAATCACCGATGTACCGGAATCCTTCTATAGTACCCAGTAGAAGACGAATGTGTCCTTCCACTGCTCCAGTATGATATTCTTTTTTCATCCCCCAAAGTGTAGTTATCGCCAGATTTACTTGCTCTTGCAGCTCCATGTTCAGCGGGCTTAGAAGTATCGTGGCGACTGGTTCTCACCGACGTTGCACGTTCATCCGGAAGGCATCTGCATGACATATTCTCTGGTTGAATGGCCGAACTTGATAATATCTTTGTCCCGCAACTCGACGAACCTTCCCTGTGGCACAGCTTCATCGTTGACCGTCGTGCCATTAGCGCTCTCCAGATCGATCACATATGGCTTCACTTTCCCAATCTTATCGCCAAACTCATTCCTCCTTTCCACATAACGGAATTGAATAACGGCATGCTGTTTGGAGCAGCTGGGATGTTCAAGTGCGAAGTCGCAGACAGAAGTTTCCCTTCCGAAGAGCCAGCAAGATTGGGTGTACAAATCCAGCGTGTCGACAATCGATTCGCCTTTGAAGATGTAGAGGCGCCAAGGTTGGTTAGAAGGCGGTTTTCGAGCCTCTGGTGGTTCATGGTATTTCAAAACAATTGCACCGGCGGATGTTGAAATTGTGTTTGAGGCTGCAGCCAAAAGCCCAGATGGCCGAAAGTTTGGCTTCTGCTTTTCAATTGTTGGAGTGGGCGCACCGTCTTTGGTAGTATGGAATGCGTCGGCTTGGGATGGCAGAGAGCCTCTCGCACGTGCCAGTCTCTCTGGTGAGCGCCGCGTCTGAGGCGACCGCGATCTACGATCATTATATTTTCGTTGCCTCTGTCCATCCGAGCTCGATGGTCTTCTGCGAGTTCGATCGCGGCTCCGAGAATTTCGTTTCCTCTCATCTTTGCGGTGTTCCCGTCCTTGGCGGTTATCATTTTGCTGCCGATGATGACTCCTGTCCCGAGAGTCATCTCGACGAGGTGGTGGCGAACGCGGCATATTTGTGGCGTGTATGAAACCGACGACGCTGTATATTCAATGGGGTCAGGATGAGGCTTTTTGTGCTTGTCTTGAACAGTATTATTCAGTAAACCGGCAAACCTTCCAAAGAGACACAGACCTGCGTGCGATGACATGTAAGACTTTCCCCCTCCGCAATCGCATGACCACTTCAATAGTACCTTATCTACTCCGTATGCGAAACATTCACAATGCCATCAATGATACTGAAACAGGTGAGGCTATCAGCGGCCTACAACAGTTGGCAATGCTGTGTCTGCGCTTCATGCCCTGAATCTCCACGAAAGCGGCTGAAGCGAGAGCCGCGCCTCTCCCAAATGGCCAGGACTTATGCGGACGTCAAATCAGACCGAGGGTATGAGTTCCGAGACAACATGAACTGGCCCTGCCGGCGGAGCTCTCCTTTTACACCTTCACCCTACGAGATCTTTGGTTTGGATAAGAACGCAGTCTACACCAAGCACAAATTCTACGAGCTGGTTAAGATCTATCACCCCGATAAGAGTAGCCACATGTCCATCAGTGGGAGCCTGAGCGACCTTGAAAGATTGGAGAGGTATAGACTGGTGGTTCAGGCACATGAGATCCTCTCCGATCCAACTAAGCGAAGGGCATACGATGTATCTGGCGCAGGATGGGGAGCGACAAGGACAGCCACAAGACACTCGCATGGATATACTAATCCTGAGGGCAAACGATATGGATTCGGCCCAGATGATGATTCGTCGATATTTCAAAATGCCACTTGGGAAGACTGGGAACGGTGGCATCGACGATACGATAAGCCCAAAGAACCTCCAGCGACATACCTCCACCCCAACACCTTCGCGTCAGTCGTCATTCTCCTTGCGGTAATCGCTGGAGTACTGCAGGCTACGAGAGCAGGACAATTCACAGGATCGATAGAAGAGCGGGCACAAGCTTTCACAGAGGAAACTAATCGATTCCTCGCATCTAGAAAGGATCATTTCGAAGACAATGACATCAAGGGTACAGGGCGTGTCAAACACTTTCTCGAGAAGCGCGATCCTGCCAAGTACGGGTTGAAACAAGAAGAGGAGGAAGTGTATCGAACCCATTTTGCTAACCCTATCTTACAGCCAATCCCAAATTTGAAGGACTCGCAAAAGGAGGGTCAAACATATTGAGTAAAGCAGCACTTTGGTAATGTACATAACTTTTGGCAGCTCCTCTCAGTGATGCCTTGGTTGACGTTGATTATTGTTACATTGAAAACGCCGGCTTTATCCCCAGCAGCATGAAGAAATATGAAGTGATGGAATCTAGTTCCCGCCCTAAAACATTTTTCATGTAGTGCTTCTCACGACATCTTGCCCTTGATTTCCTCTGCCTTGCCCTTTGCCTGACCTTTTACTTCAGCAGCTTTTCCTTTGGCTTCACCAGCCACTTGAGAGGCAGTGCCTTCAGCCTTCTTGGACTCGACACCGATGACTTCGGCGGCTTTATCTTTCAGCTCGACTGGAAAGAAGTAAGCTATGCGGAAATCCACGGTGGACGCAGGTCAACCTACCTCCTTTGTCGATGCCAGCAACTGCAACGTCTGAAACGGCACGGTCGACCGTCTTGAGGCCGTCCTTGACAGTGTCGGTAGCGGACTTCTTCTGAACGACTGTGGTAGAGAAGAGGCGAGGTGATGAGCGCACAGCAGATAATCGGACCGCGGTGCGAAGCACGGGAGTTGTTTGGTAGAGGAAAGACATTTTTGAGGGAAATTTGATGGATTTGGCAGCGTGTGTTGGTGAGATGTTCAATACAAGTAGGCGTCAGGTGCAGCGCTTTGGCGTATTGCAAAATGTGCGGTTCCCAGGGAAATGAAGGCTCTTTTGAATGATGAGTGACGGGCGTGAATGCCTGGAGGGGACTTTGTTGATCCTGCCTTCTTCAGCCTCGACAAAGACGTCACAAATGTGACCGTTCTGGTGATTCAATTTCCCCACACTGCTGCGGGCCAACGCCACTGACTCGCCCGGGCGGGAGATCCGTGGGAATGTGCAAGTCCTCCAGGCAAGCCGATGGCCGTAAAGATCTTTGGGGCGGTTGATGTCACTGTGCAGCGAGGGCAAATTCACATGCCACTTACGAGACCATTGAACCATGATCCAAGTTGAGGATACCGTAGAAGTTGATCAACGAATTGGTCCTCAAACATGCCTACCGAGAGCCACCGGACAAAGCATCCGAATCCCAGCTTCATCCCGAAGATTGACAGTCAATCAAAATGAAACCCAACCTCCAGTGGCTCCCTTATCCTTCCAAAACAACCGTCCGTCAAAAGTCCAGATCCTCCTCATAAGGTGTTTGTTGGTGAACACACATAAGGAATTTTCCAGCCTCTGGATCTTTCCTCCAGGTGCTCGAGATCAATGCTCTGAATTCGTCCTGTCTCGTATCGTCATCCGCCGTCACATGCCGCCTGGTCGCGTTCACTCGATAACTGATTTGGGCTGCCTCTGGTCCCAATGGTGTAACCTCCACATCGCTCAGCTTGAACTGCTTCCATGGCACAAACGCATCGCTCTTCATTACATCTTCAAGATTCGGCGTCGTTTTAGCGGACACTTTCATTCCCAGTGGGAAAAGCATGATACAATCGTGACTGAGGAACGGCAGTAGTGCAGCTCCCGAGGATGTTAATGCTCTCCAGGTTGCATCCTCAAGGGCTAGAATAGTATCATGCAGCATGCTGTAGTCCATACTGAAATAGTTGAGGTGCTGGCAGTGTGAGGACAATTTGCAGTCGGGGATATGTAGATTCGGATTCTAGTTGCAGTGAGAGATGGTCAGCTATGGTACTGATCCATCAAAGTCGGGGATGTTGGACATGAAGTGATACCGTGGTCTGATTTCCCTATCATTGACATCTCAGGCACAGCGTCAGCCAAGCTAACTGTGCCAGTTGGCCTTGCAGCTTGAGGTAAGAACTCAAGCACTCCGTCGACACTCTCGGCGAGCTTTTCCCCGCAACCTCGGAACTTCCTGCGCCCTAGGAGGAGTACCCGGTAGCGATACTGCGCTTCATATCTCTTCCCACCTTCCCTCACAATGTCAGCACGCAATTATTGAAATAATGCGAACCCGTTCAGCATGGCGCGCCCTCTCGACTCTACGAGCTCCTCGTGCCTATTCCCGTCGCTTTGCTTTTGTGTCCGAACCTTCTCCAATTAAAGTCCAACACCAACCAGCACCGCATTCTGGTAATATCCGCATCCTTCTCCTCGACAGGCCTGCCGCTCGAAATGCCTTGTCACGCAGACTCATTACTGATCTGAAGCGTCATGTCCATGAGATCCAGGCCGAGGGTGGTACAGGCCCCACGAGGGCACTGATCATTACGTCCAATACAGACAAGGCTTTCTGCGCCGGGGCAGACTTGAGGGAAAGAAAGGAGATGACGCATGAAGAGTACGCACTTTCGAGTCTCAGTGATTGCACCTGCTCACAAATATAAAGGACTAGGGAATTCTTGACAGACATGCGGAACACCTTCACCGATCTATCCAACCTCCTTGTGCCTACCATCTCTGCTATATCTTCTGTTGCTCTTGGTGGTGGTCTGGAACTAGCGCTCTGCACGACATTTCGGGTATTTGGATCGTCTGCAGTTGTAGGCCAGCCTGAAACAAAGCTGGCAATCATTCCGGGAGCAGGAGGGACCTACAGACTACCTGCATTGATTGGGATCAACCGAGCACGCGACCTCATTCTTACTGGTCGACGAGTTGGCGGTGCAGAAGCCTACTTTCTAGGACTGTGCAACAGACTGGTGGAGATTACTCCGGAGGAATTCGACGAGGAGGCAAAGGCACGGCAAAAGGTGCTGGCTGCCAGTTTACAGCTTGCCAATGATATTTGCGATGGAGGGCCGATTGCCCTGACCCAAGCAATGCGTGCAGTCAATGGGTGGCAACGTGGAGAGGCCGCAGAAAACGAAGCCTACGAGGTCATCCTGAAGACGGAGGACCGGATGGAGGCATTGAGGGCATTTGCAGAGAAGAGGAAGCCAGCCTTCAAGGGCAGATGAGGCACCGAACTGACCCATCGAGGTTGCCTGTCTTGCCCCAGTTGCCCGAGACACCTCCTGATGTTCAATCTGGCCGTGTGACTTCAAGTAGCTTTGTCTGAGGGTGGTATAGAGAGGAGATCTTGTGACAAACACTGCTGCGGACGACCAAATAGGCAACCCTGCAAAACTGATTGCCACAATCACATCAAGTAGGTAGCAGCCTCCAAACCCGCTTTCGAGCCTGCAGCCGAGCTCCCGGTATTCATTTGGCCCCTTCGGCTGAGCTTGGCCCCCCTGAGGCTGCAGTTTCCCCCACAATATGGCCCCCGGGAAAGGCAAGATGCCCAATGCCAGGATTTAGCAAGCGATCACAGACGGGACTGAAACGCCTAAGCCGTCTAAGACTCCAGAGACCAGCCGCCCAAATCTGCTTGCCTCATCTTCAAAGGACACGTCAATTTTCTTTGTCTGGGAAATATGCAGGTTGCATCCACCACTGCCATCGTCAGGCTACCAAGTCACCTGCGCCCTCCATTTCCATTCGACGGTAACTGTGACTCCTGGATCCAGTCCACCATGTCTGAAATGCTTCTCTTCAGCCTACATATGTTCCGGTGAGCGGGCGAGTTTCTTGCCCGAACGTTGTACTTTTTCATATCGGTTTCTTCTACTTCTCTTGCTTCTGCTGGCTTGCTGTCCTGACTCCCCTCGATGTGCGACGGCTGTGCGCCATTTGAACGATGAGCACCTCTGCTGGAAAGCAGATCGTACAATATGGCCTTACAGAAGTCTACACGGCGACAGATCCCCTAGTCGACATCGTTTTCGTGCATGGATTGAACGGGCATCCCCACGATACTTGGTCTACCAAGAAGCCCGACGTCTTCTGGCCGGCTGACCTCCTCCCTGCGGCGCTTGAAGACCAAAGACCCCGAATTCTGACCTACGGGTATGACGCGAATGTGACCGCTTTTACCGATGGCGTGTCAAAGGACAAGATACATAACCATGCAGAACATCTTGCAAGTCGCTTGGTGGCCAACAGATCGGTAAGCGGGGAACATGAACCCTAGGTGATGCTACACGTCTAGCTTCGCCGGAACACTTCATACGGACACAAGCTGAGAAGAAGCAGTTAAGGAAAGCCACCGAAAGGCCCATCATCTTCGTCTGTCATTCCCTCGGAGGCTTGGTAGTCAAGAGATGTTTGATATACTGCCAGAGCATTCGACGTCACCAACACACCGAACGACTTCGATCAATCTACGTCAGCACATATGGAATTCTCTTTCTTGGGACTCCTCACAATGGCTCTGACCTAGCCAAATGGGGCTCCTTGCTCGAGAAGATCTGTGCTGTCGCACTTCCGAAGAAGTTCTTCGATACGTCTCCTCAACTGGTGCAGGCGCTGCAGACCAACAACGAGACGCTGCAGAATATCAATAGGCTCTTCATTGAAATAATTAGCCGCTTTCACATCTACTTCTTCCACGAGTCAAAGCCTACCGATCTAAAAGGTACCCGATCATTCGTCGTGGAGGAAGATTCCGCCGCTCCTGTCATTGAAGGTGTCGAAAGAATGGGAATTGAAAAGGATCACAGGTAAGAAGGACCCCAAACCTATTCACTCCCACGATTGCTTAGATTTCTCACTTCTTTTCTAGCCATATGTGCAAGTTCGAAGATGAATCAAGCCCAGGCTATGATGTCGTCGCCGAAGCTGTTCAGAGGTAACGCGGGCAAGTATCGGAGACGAACGATTCGTGCTTACTTCTCCCTAGATACGCCACTGCGTCCCAGTCGCTCATCCACTCACGCTGGGAGGAAGAGAGACGAGTCGCCGAATTTGAAAGGCAAGCAGCTGCACGTGAATTGTTGGGTGGTGAGTACGTGAATCCACAAGTCTCGTCCGTGGCAATGCTAATTCCCTGGATAGATAGCATTTTTCAGACGAGCGCAGGAGCCTTGGGCGCAGTTACACCTTCTGGGATTGCGCAAACAATCCAGTCAAATTCAATGAGTGCGCCTCCTCCCAAACAGATCTCCGCGTCAACTTCACCCCAGTATGAGGTTGAAGAGGTCGAGGACGATCTCGTCACTGCACCTCGTTGATCAACCAGCTTTGGTCAGTGATCAGAATGGAGCTCGTTGACGCTGACTCATGGTGGTTTACAGAGGACTCTATAAGCTCAATCCGAATGACTGAACAATCTTTGACTTTATCATCGTCTATTTCCCTAGTTGTTGCTCCGGTGGGCTTCCGCCCCAATTCAATTTTTCTTGGCTTTCAATTGGAAATGGACCAGCTTGCTCAAAAGCTGGCAAACCAGAGGCGGCGAGCATTAGGGACTTGTGCCGTTTTGCTGTGGGGACCGCCAGGCTGTGGTAAAAGCCAGATTGCACGAGAATATCTGTGGCGGCACCAAAGCGAGTATCCGGCCGGCTGCTTCTGGGTCGACTCCAAGACCAAAGAATCGCGCTCGAAAAGTTTCTGGGATATTGCTCAGGCTGTTGCGATACTTGGCAACGACGAACCCCGAGACCCCGGGTGGGATGAATCGTCAAAGTTTGTCGACACGGTGCGGAAATGGTTCGAATCTCGAGAAGGCTGGCTGCTCGTATTTGACGGGGTGACGACAGACAATGACGAGGACATTGAAGCGTTGGTGTCTTACATTCCGGACCGCTCGGGTAACAACATCATCTACACGTCGGTGGATCGCACGCTGGCGAAGCGGCAGAGATTGCTCAACCCTGCCGGCGTCAAAGTGTTCCCATTGTCACAGCACGACGCGTGTGCTCTTCTCTACAAAAACCTAGGGATCAGATCGCCGACTGAACTGCAGGCGAAAAAGGCTATGCAGTTAGTGAAACACTACGAATGTCTACCACTTGCCATCCACGCCGCCGCCCACGCATTAATTGCCAGAGGCACATCGCTGGAGAAGTTCAGTCCCGGAACTTCAGATCATCGACTTGCTGATCCGTACCTGGACATTATCTCATCGCTAAGAGAGCATTCGCATCCTGAGGCCGTCCACCTGGTTACACTACTGAGCTTTTTCGCGCACGTGATACCAGTGGCTCTGATTCGCTTTGGACAACCTGTGTTGCAGGAATTTGGAATCGAACTTCGCTCTGTTGAACAGATAGGAAGCATGAAGAAAGAGTTAGACAACACCATCGCCGTTCTCATACGCTACGGATTGGTCGAACGGACCCTACTTGAATACTGCATTACACCATCAAAAAGCTCTTTCGCGCCAGACGATTCTAGACGGCCACGAGCCAACACTGCCGATACCTTTGGCGCAGTGGGGACTGCTGGCGAGATAGAGCGAATCAAACCAAGACTGCTCAAGGATGACTCCAGCAGCCTCGAAGGATTAGTCGCGGCTCATCCAGAGAGCATGTTGGACGGGTCATCTTCCCATTCGATAACCTACAGCATCGACATTCTCCGCATTCACAGCGTCGTGCAAAATGTGCTCCGGGACGAGCTGAAGCTTCGATATGCAGATCAACCAGCACATTACTGGTGGTGGCTCTGCGTCGCCTCGAAAATGATCTGTCACTCTTATATGGTCGCAGATGCCAAAATCAAGAGCACTGAAGGACGAGGTCTTGTTCGCGACTATCGGGACTATGAGACGCAGGCGGCCCGGCTTTGGTCACACTTCCCAAAATCATCTGCCGACGCCTCGCCGACGCTGCGCAAAACAAGGCACAACCTTCACGAAACTATCCGATTGATTAAGAAGGAAATCCAGAGGCAATCTCCGTCACAATCCGTTGAAAGCCTCAATCGCCGAGTACAATTCTCGGTGTTTGAGCGGGCCAGCAGCACCTCTTCAGATAGTCCCGCCACTGAAAGCAGTGCTTTGACCAGGGCATCCACCTGGACGCCCGAACATACCGACGATCAGACTGAATCGCCAGTCCAGATGCATCTTGGGTTGGATTTGGATGACGACGGGTCCGAGGGCAGCTGGACAGAGAGATGGTCGCAATCTGGAATGGACAACTCGAAGGTCCTGATTCCGAGTACGAACCGAAGCCGACGTCCAAGCGATTCTCAGATGGACGTGACGACGCCTACGGAGGCCAGCTTCAATATTGCCCGTCAATCCTCGGTTCTCCATGCGATCTTCCAAGGGCGACCTCACCCGGCCAAAAAACCGAAGGATCTTGGAGAGTGGAAGCCTATACCGATTCCACCCACTCTCTCCCACGAACAGGCGCAGATTCGCTCGAGAGCGTCATCCTTCACCAGCGGCAGCGACGATCGGACTGCGACGAGGCCTACTTCCACAGGCTCTGACGCATCGGGTGCTCTCGCGGCCATCCACCGCGCCAGCCCGCCTCCCGTGAGAGGAGGAAGAATAAAATCACCTACGCGTCCACAGTGTATCAGGCCAACATTGGACGAAGCACGCCTGCCACTGTCCACTAGATCTCCCAATCAGAAAATGTCACCTTTGGTCACAGAGTTTCTGCCGAGTCAGTCTCTTCCAGCCTACGATTCATTCGATATCGCTCGAAAGCACAGCAGGCATCCGCCGTCGTCACCCCGACTGATACACACCGCATTGAACAATCCAGTGGCAACAAAGATGGTTCCCTCAATCCCGATGGACGAGAACCTTTCGCTGTCGCGACATTCTGAATTTTCCGAGCTGAAGCCGCGTCTGAGACAAGAGGTTGAAGGTCGCCTCTCTGCGAAGCCGTTTCCTGGTGGCTACAGCTCACAGCCCATGTCACGCGATACATCCAAGGAATCAAACGCATCATATGCCACGGCACCTCCAGCAGTACCCGGTTCGGCGTCGCTGGGCACCTCCCCGCAGATCCGCGAGCCTTATCTGTACAGCAGACCGGGCCTGGCCTCCATTGACGTTGCGGCTGCTGCTGCATGGGATGACGAGATTGCTAGCATTGGCAATTTGGATGTGACCTCTCCGTTTGCATCCAGTGTATCCTTTGACGGTGCGGACATTTTCGAGAGGCGCCACGAAAGACTTGAAAGCAGTGTCCAATTTGGCCAGATGTCTCCAGTTGAGCTCGATAGGGCACGAGCGCGTGTCTCATCGGCTCGTGGCCGGAGCGTAGATGGACGACTGGCGGACAAAGATAAACAAGGGAGATGTCGCAGAAGTGGACAGCACCTTAGTATTTCAATGCATAGCGAAGCATGATTTTTTGCATAACGAGGTTATGGCGGCGGGCTCTATAACACCTGCGGGTACTTAAAAGCATATCTCCTTCGAGCAGCATTCTTTGTGTCTTTAAATCCGGTCTCTAGATATTCACGGGCTCGTTTCGAACGCTTTGTTGACGGTGAGAATCTGGATAAAAGCGATGTGGCGACGCCTCCAGCTCAGACAGTGCCTTTCACCGATCTGGTGATGTACTCAGTAAGCGTTCGGAGACCGAGAGGTACGGCATGGAAGCCCTTAGGCGAGCTGCTGGTGGCAAGGGTTTCAGCGGATATGGTGGGTAGAGTCTGGATGCTAAAAGTCGGAACCTTGGAGAGGGCCGAAGTGAGGCTGAAAACGACCCAGGTCCGTCGTGTATTTATAGACCAACCCACAATGTCACCAATATGATGATGGCCTTATGCCCTCGAGCGAGGTAGCGAGCACCCAGCGAGTGTAGCGAGGACCGAGTACATGATATTAATACGGGCGCGTTCTCCACTGCCTCGGGTTTGTATCTACCTATTCTCCGAAGGGCGATTCTGGTTTAACCTTTCAGCGGAATTTCCGCAAATTTACACCTTTAAACAGACCAAGTATCCCAAACACCATGGCTTCGTCCGATCCCACATTGCATCTACCACGCATCCTCTGCATCCACGGCGGTGGCGTCAACGCAGCAATCTTCAAGAACCAGTTCCGCGCGTTTCTGGGCCACGAAAAGCTCAAGAACCGATACCGCTTCGTCTTCGTCGACGCGCCCTTCTTCTGCGACGAAGGCGTCGGCGTCGTTCCCGTGTACTCGGACTGGGGTCCATTCCGGCGATGGTTCCGTTGGCTAGAGTCTCACCCAGAGATCGAGCCGGCCGCGTGTCAATATGAGCTAGAGTACACCATTGACCGCTGCATGGAGAGCGATGAGGGCACGGGAGAGTGGGTGGCGACCTTGGGCTTCAGCCAGGGCGCCAAACTGGCGGCGAGCCTGCTGTACGACCAGCAACTCAAGGAGAAACCCGGGCCGTGGAAGTTTGCCGTCATCCTCGCCGGCCGGGCACCGCTGGTCAGTCTGAGTGAAGAGGCGGAAGAACTACCATGGATGCAGTCCGCAGGGGGCCTGGCGGACGCGGCCGACGTCGAGAGCATCCTCGAGCGCCCAGACATGAAGCTGAGGATCCCGACTCTGCACGTCCACGGCCTGAGGGACGAAGGTCTCCATCTCCACAGGAAGCTGGTCGAAAACTACTGTGCGCCAGGGACGACGATGCTGATTGAATGGGACGGGCCTCACCGCATTCCTATCAAGAAGAGTGATGTCGATAAGATCGTCGACGCTTGGGTCGAGCTCGCCGACGAATACGGTGTGTGATCTCGTTCGGATCGGTTTCAGGAGAGTCTACCCTCCTCGTCTCCTGAACTCCAGCTACGGTGGTTCAGGCTTGCTCCTACATACATGCACTGGGTGTCCATCCTCCACAACTTGTCCATCACAAGGACTGCCTTTCCTGACAAGAGGCTTCCAACTCGGCAGGGAAAAGCCTAATAGCCCCCTCATCCCCCGCCATCATAGCTTCACAGTTGCACCAGCCGGTCGTACCCGTCCCCTTCGGAAGTCTCTCTCCCGTCCTTGCCTATCTCCCAACCTCGTCCTCGGTAACGCTCTGGCCAAATACCACATCTCCCAGGGGCAAGGATGCCATTGGGGTCGAGGGCATCCTTGAGTTTCTCGTTGAACTTCATGAGAGCATTGTCGTTCCAGCTGTATGTCCGGGCGACTTGGTCCTGAAAGAGAAGATGGGTCCGATACTCTCCGTAACCTTGTTTCGCTGCATCCTCGATCATCAAGCGCATACAGCTTTCGACAGCCTTTCTCCTTTCGGGCCTGCCCCGGTCATAGATTATGAGATTGATCATGTGGAGTTCTCTCAACCCTACGCAAAATGCGATAAAGAGGTCGACTCCATGCTCGTCGTGCCTCGTCTTGGCTATCTTCCATAATTTCAGCGCGTCCGAGCCTCGAGTCGGCGACACAGGGCTGAATCCCAAATGAGCGCCGTTAGGCACCCAGTTCATGTACGATAGCTCTTCAAAGTCTGGTTCGCCCCCGGCTATTTTGGCCCGTGACCAGAAATAATGGTCCTCGGGCAGTGTGTCAGGGTCAATCCTTTTGGCACCGGAGATTTTGGTGAATTCTCGATGGACAATGTCCAGTTTGTATTTCCGAATGTTTTCAGGCCCGTACGACGTCCCATAGTAGATCCATGAACACCGCCCGAGCGGCGTGGCCTCCAGATGGGCTTGCAGCACTTCCTCCGGTATAGGGCCAGTACCTTGATAATAATGTGATCGTGGGAGCCCGGAGACTGCCAACTCAACGGTGCTGTGTCGGATTTGGGCGACATTCTCAAGCAAGTTGGCGATTCTCAGAGGTCGAACGATATCGATCTCGCGTCATGTTCAGCTATCTTTCATGTGTGGTGTTTGGAAGTTCAGCGTACCAATTGCAGCAGGTCATCTTCCCGCTGAAACGTATACATCTTTGAAAGTCAGTTGGCCCACGAGAGGTCAAGGTCAGGAAGCCCAGGTCACTCACGAAGCTTTCGCAGCCGCCTGGATCTGGCATCAAAGCAACGCCCATCTTTGTGACTATTCCAAAGTTCGACTGTGAAAAGATCCCACTGCAACCCATCGTCAGCATATGGGATATCCATCCGGGGTCCCGCCATACTCTGAAATCGGCCCAAATCCATAAGGAAATGTCTGCCAGGTGTTGTTGCCAGGGAGAGCCCCCATGCCTGTCCTGAGCAGATCGCCAGTGGGAAGAACTACCTCCAGCCCCGAATGAGTCGACCAGTGATCTCCATATGGCGTGTAGCCAACTCCATGTTCGAGAGTGTTGCCGATGATTGAGCCTCCCCCAAGGTCGGGCGTATCCACCCACATGGTGTATCCCTTCCTCTTGATCTCCTCGTACAGAGCATAGAATGAAACACCCGGCTCAACCAGACAGGTACAGTCATCTGGATCAATATCTAAGATCTTGTTCATTCGTCTGCCAAGGTCGACGGTAACTGAGCCACGCACGCGCGGTGCGGCACCTCCATATCCCACTGTCAAGTCCGTCAGCGAGGGCTCAGCGGAAGGAGATAAGAAAGCAGGCATCATGTACGGTTTCGTCCCATAGAGATTGGATATAGGGGGACAAGATGTTTATTTGCCCACTTCACCACAAGTTGAACATCCTGCACATTGGCTGGGTAGACGCAAGCTGACGACACTGTCTCTTCGGCGTCCATGATCATGTAGGAATCGTGCGTATTGGGATCTGCTCAACGTATCAACCTCTGCCGGGTATTGAGGACAATCTCAACATACGCTCCAAATACCTTGAGAGAAAGTCAGCTGTTGACCACGACGGTACAAAAGAGCGGCCATCCTATTTCTCACCATCCATCCTCAAGGGGCTTGTCGTTCAATACAACGTGCTCCTCCCCCAGAGTTCTCGCCAAATCATCCAATGCCCTGAGGAAATCCGAGCGGCCAATACCAGCAGGGATGGCCAAGCCTCTTTTCCTGGGGGTCTGGTCTTCCTTGGATTGGTTTTCCCACAGTCTTGACTTCTCCCGAATTGCTTTGTTCAATAGTCTCTCTGGGATTCCCGAGTATGTGGCAGGATACTGCGGTAGCAAAGCCGTTGAACTGGAGGACGAAGACATGTTGCCAGAATCGACGTGGCAGTGATACGTCGTGCTCCACCCAAGTCACAAGACAATCAGTCACATATCAACCCATGACCCAGGCCCGCAGGATCAGACACAATATATACTTACTGACTCTTTGCCCATGTGGAGAGGCAATCCGTGCCATCACGCCCTCGGCCATCAGATCATGGCAGCCATCCTCCATCTTCCCCCAAGATGTGGAGAAGTGGAGGTGAAATTGTCCAAATTGGGCGCAGGCGATGGATTTCCTGCTGCTCTATCGTGTTCCGACCTTTGGTCTCGCACATGTGGGACTAACCCCACCTGAGGATGATGAAATCGATCACTAGGTGCATTAGACAGACTGAGGATGAGTGTGAATGAAGGGGTTGAAAAACGTGTCTGGCCAGAAAACACAGTTCCGGAATTACGCAGCTACCACAAGAAGACTGCAGCTGGTCCTTTACAGCTACATATCTGAATCTGGACCCCATCCCCGGCCAGTGAAGTTGTCAGAAGAAAGCGATGGTACGGATCTCAATGCTCTCACGGATCGGTGCATTGGGGGGAGAGTTTGGATCCTCAAATGCGCTGTGCCCTACAAACCGAGCACGCCCGTCCGTCTCAGAGTCATATGTCTTCAGAGTAATCACCTGTTCCGGCGCCATCTTGGGGAAGTACCACCACTTATGGTTGGGTGAATGGCGCATGACATAGTTCTCGCCAACGCGATCACGATACTGGAGGTACAGCTTGAAGAAGTCCTCCATTGGAGCCGAAGAGACATCGCACATGGCCAATGGTCGCTCCTCGACGGTGTGGTGAAGTGGTTTCCACACGTTGAAGAATGCCACGCGTCGAGAAAGGAGGTCCTCAGCCTCATCCTGCAATAGCTGGCGGACACGGGCAGGACCGGACTCGGCAGTGTAATCACAATGCACCAGCATGACCGGTGCACGCTGCGAAGTATTCGTCTCTTGGGTCAGCTTCTTGGCTTCATTCCGTTGCGTACGGATAGTATGGTCAAAGACGAGCACACGCAGGGCGCCTGTGGTGTTCTTTAAGAATTCCACTATTTCGGGGTAGAACTGCTCGCGAACTGAAGCCTCGTCTTCCCAGGTTTCAAATCCCGTCTTGAAGTGGCTAAGCGAGAATCCTTCCTTGTCAACAGAGAAAGAGTCGGCTCTGTGCCATCCGTCCGTCACAGTCATTTCGTGCGGATCATCCCCAGGCTCATGGATATCCTTTGCAGCCTCGCACTCGTAGAAATAAAGCTCCGTCCGCTGTTCAACGTCCTTGGTGTAGTTGAAATTAGCGCGGGTAAATGTAGCTGTGCCATTGGCAGTGGTAGCCTTAGCTGGCAACAAGGCTCTGTCGACAGCGGTTTGGGTCTTTTGCCACTGAGGCAGCTTTTCAACTTGGTCCGTCAGCCAGCGCGTAAGGTGAGGATACTTTTCGAGCGGCAGGCGTTGGGCGGCATGCAGGTGCATAGGAGCGGCTACGGCAATATCGGCGATGGTGACATCGTCACCAGCAAGCCACTTGGTTTTAGACAACTGTTCGTCGAGGATGGCGGCATGCTTGTGCCACTTTGGTGCTTCTGCATCAATGGCTGCCTGATCGGGTTCGGCCTGGAGAAGTGGCTTCACCACATATTCTACCAGATATATGTAGCAGCTGGGAAACCAGACTGAGGCTTCCCACAGAAGCCAGCGGTTTACAGCACATCGCTGTTTGGGGTCTTTCGGATACATCGAACCACAGTCATCCGCGGCGTACTGCAGAATGGCATTGGACTCAGTGATCTGTAGATCCCCATCAACCGCAGCTGGCACAGTGCCATGTGGATTGATTTTCAGGTATGCGGGACTCTTGTGCTCGTTGGTGAAATAGTCGATATGGTTGAAGTGGTATTGGGTGCCCAAGAGGTCGAGGCCTGCCAGAACCTTGCGGCTGTTGACCGTGCAAGGGTCACAGTATACTTCGAGCATTGTTTTGTTTTCCTGGAATTCTGTTGACCTAAGACAAGAGGAGGAGGATCGGCCCATGCAAAGATCAGTAGGTCCGGCAGGGTGGATGACCTCGAGCTGTTATACACACTACCCCGCGTTTCAGCAGAGAGAGTATTTCGGGTGAAAGAAACCTAATCGCAGAATGCCGCAAGATGCCCAGATCTCAAACAGGATCAATCAAGCGTCCATTGGAGAAGCTCTTCGTATTTGCAGGGGGGTATAGGGTCAGGCGGACCGCCTCTTCTTGCCAGGAATGTTTGGAGCGGGGTGGTCAATGTTGAAAGTCCGCCTCAACGCCATGTCGCACTTTTCGCAGTCGCCCCAAGGCGTTGATGCCGATGGTGTGGGTTAGATGCAGCGTATTTTCCGTGCAGAGAAAGTTGCACCAGCACGAGACGTAGACCTGTTTGACTTGCTGCCGAGGTCTTTGCGGCGATAGTCTCGCCAGGACTCATGTCAATTTGAGACACAACTCCTCCATGTCTCTGGTACGTGAAGCCGCAGCCAGAATGACGTCGAAACCCTCTTGGTAGAGAGGCTGCTCTTCAGAAATGAATGCCGCACGAAGGTGATTCATTCGCCCGTTGCGAAGCTCTAAGCCAGTAACGTAGGGTTAACGGTCGTCGACTTCCAATTGAGCCCAGCCAAGTTCTATTCCTGTCGGGCTATCATACGTTGTGTTACGGTTGAACACGAAGGCGGAGAGACAATGGGTTTAGCGCTTGTTGACGATGGATGTTCGCGCTCCGAACCATCAAGCAAGCTGTCTTGTACAGGCTACCCCACAAGCATGGTCCGTCGTAAAGATCTTCAGACACTGCCACATGAGAGCTTGCGTCTTTTGTCCAGTTCAAGTTTGATCTGTCCGCTGGAAGCACGGGGGTTGGATATCTGGTAAATCGGGGTCCGGCTGACGATGAAGAGGAAGTCATGGATGTGTGCCATCGAATAATCAGGCTTGTCTGTTGGTGCACGTCAGCCATTTTCCTCAATGCCATCAGATGAGTCCGCTGTATAGTATATCACATCTGAGATGTCTGCGTAAGTTGATTGGGTCGTGGACATGCACTGCAGGCCTACGCAGGCTGAATGTGAAATCAGAACGAGGTGCGACTGAGGCAGACAGGATAGAGGAATATGGTCATTTGACCTTTCCTGCAACTTCTGACCAGGCTAGTCCACGAGTGGTCAGATAGGTTGACAGGGGAAGGGTCGAACGATGCGTGTAACAGACTTCGACCGATGCAGCCTACGATGAAGCCACTGATAGCGACAGATGCTGCTCATGGCCGCCAAAATTTCGACCTGGGCCAGCGATATCAGAGGTACATTTGGCGCAGCATGTTCAAGCCTGCGGCTGCATCACTTCCTATCCCTGCCACTTCCACCCAGGCACCGTAATCCATTGCTTCAACAACTCTCGCCCTCTCACAATCACACCCGATAGGATATCGGTGTTCACTCTGATGACCTCGTCTTGAAGCTGGCAAGTTCCCTACAGCTCTAGGCCGAGACTAAGCTGCCCTCCCTTTCTTCGACATGCAGCGCCCACCATTTCGGCTGCCACTGACCAAGGAATCTCCTACAGCCTTCTTCAGTCAAAGTACATTTCGGGACCACAAATGATGCTGCTCCTAGCTGGCAAGACGAAGGGTGATGCTAAGACCACGAGAAACGACAGCTTGGGATCAAGATCTCCGGACACTGGGACTACACCAGTTTCTTTGAACTCCTAGTCGCAGCTTGACGAACCCACTCGACCGGCATTGCATTACCCCAGCGAGAGACTGGGAGAGCACTTGGAGTCTGTGCAAGTGGTAAGATGTTTTGACAACATAAGATCTAGACTCCCAGAAGATATCACTCGCACAGCCTCAGTGATCTTACTTATTCCTGAAGAATATTGGTAGACCAGAATTGATCTTCGCAATCTATTGAGCATGCAATCTATGGACTTTCGACATTCCTCTTGCACCCGTTGATATTCTATTGTTGCGAAGCAGTCAGCCCGACGACATGCTCTCCAAAATTGTCGTCCACATCATCGTCCATTTCTCCTGTCGTCTCGGTCAATCCTCTGTACAGTTCCTCCTCGATCTCTGCAAGTCTTGACTGCTTCACCTTCCCGTCCTTCAACCCGTATAGATCACAAAACATCATGATCAGCGGCTTCCACTTGTCTGCATCGACACGGTTTCGAAAGCCATTAAGTCTGAGTTCCTTGTGAATGCTGACTCGCAGAATCCTGACCTCGATCGCGAGCACGAGACCTTGCACCGCTCTTCCTCCATACATTTCATGCACCGCCACCACTTCCGCCTCCATGACAGCGGGACATTCTTTGATTCCGGGAGGAGCGACTTTCTTTGAAGGCAGAGATGTGAGCCCGGCGCACCCAAACTTGTCTTTGACAAACTCATAGCCTCTGTCCTGTTTCGAGGATGGGACTGGGTCGGTGCCGGTCGTTCGAGCCAATGCGTTGACATTCGCTGCCATGTTGTCCGAGGCAAGATTCAACACGCACTGGTTGGTGCGAAGCATATTCTGTGTGGTCTGGGAAGAAGCGTCGAGTCCAAGCATACAGCCGTGCCCAAGCCACCAGGCTGATGACATTGGGCCTATGTTGGCACTTTCGTCGGGGTTCGTGGTGCTGATCAACACCACTGGCGTGCCCCAGTAAAGAATTGCTGGCGAAATTTCTTCATGAGTCATGTCGACTGGGATGAACGAGAAGGTACTGGTGTTTTGCAATCTAGACAAGACAATGTTTAGCCAAACGAGGTGATGTGGTGTCGTGCAACAACTTCTCATCCTCGACCACAGTGCCCCTTCTTATACCCATCGGTCGAGGCCGAGATGACTCATGGTAACCGCGCGTATACAACCGGATTTTTAATGTACGAGACATCGGTATCATTGAGAGCACAATTTTGCAATCGGTCTGAAGCGTAATGGCGTCCTTTCTGCAACAAAAGCAGTCAGCGTAACGCAGAAAGGTATATC